AGACAAATCCAGATTGTTCACTGCTTTAAAGCACACAAGAGCAACTAAGCAGGATAGGGGAGAAGCAGCAGCTACAGCAAGATGATGTACTCAAACGCCTCTCACCAAATCCACCCATGGGCAGCCCTCGCCCAGAGCCACCTTTCATTATGTGGTCAGGGTGTCTCCCATAGTTTTCAGCGTATTCCACGACCCTGATGGATAGAATCCACACTGCCTTCTCTCCAAACACTTCTGTCTGTAAGGACACTGTAACATTAAACACATATGCACGGCTTCAAGCAAGCTAGCACAAGAAACTCATACAGCTGCATAACGACCATTTTTTAAAGAATTATTTTTTTTTTGAGACAGATCAATTTCCTAATCAAGGTCACCCACAAAAGTCTGGTAGTACATTGCAAAGAAAGTGTAGAACAAATGCCTACAGACTGCTGCCTTCTCATTATTTTTTTTCTTCTTCCAGAAACAGCACTGGCTTAAGGGAACATCAAACTACACCCTGCCAGGGAGCAACACTCCAAGCCAGCCATAAAAGAGGTAGTTTGCAGTGCAGTATTTCAGGGAGTCGGATTGCATGCCATGTTCCGAGTTCCAGTTATTCTGGTTGCCAGGCCAGACACAGGCTTGGGTGAGGATGAGCAGCTTATGAGCTCGTTCATTTTTTTCTGAACTCAAAACGTACTGGTTTTTACTTCAGCTGGGTTTGGGGGCAATACAGTACATTTAAAATGCCACTGAGTTAATTTGACACCACAGAAATGGTGAAAGAACAAAACAAGCATAAATGATTCATTCTGCTATGGTATCCTTTCTTCTGCTTAACTTGTTTTCACAAGATTTATAAATGATGTGTTTGTATTAATTCTTTCAATGAAAAACAATAGGAAAAGTGGCTAAAACAACTGTTTATACAGTGCCTACAGAGTATTACGCTTTTCAAACAGGGAAATAGTTTTTAAAATGCCTTTTTTTTAACAAAGATTTTTAGATAACCTTGATGACAAACGGTTCAACTATATCCAGCGCTAAATCAGCTCATCATCTGTCCTGTCATACAAAACCTGTAGTGATACAGGTTTACTTGTAGCTCACCTTACTGAAGAAGAATCTTGCAGATTTTGAATATACGCAGAACACGCCCAGAAAACTGACAGCACACTTAAATATCTCATTAAACGATTATGAAGTAATGACATGGAACAGAGGTACAAACGACCAGTAGTATCTAAACTGTGTTCCCATATACTCATGTGCTGGCTGACTAGCTGGCGATCCCAAATTAATGCCCCTTTGAAAATATGCGGTATGGTCATGTTTCGTGATTCATTTGTTAGAATGTGCAACCTGACTGATGAAATATTTCTGCCCACTGTTACATGAATCCATTAATTGGCAGAAATCTGACTACGCATTTTAGCTATTAAAAGAGCGTGATTTTCTTGAAGATTGTTTTTCCCCTGTGTGACAAAAAAATGGTCTCGATTACAGTACATTCAAGTTACAATTATACAGAAAAAAATGAAGCACTTTTGCCTAGGACTCTGCATTATGACACAAACATGACTAAATAATGTTATTTAGTCGTGCTCAGAACAGACAACTTTTATTAAAACTCACTAATTTTCCTACTGATCTGCAACAGTACCACTCTAAAATAAAATGGCAACGTGTAAAATTGCATCCCTGAACTTATCTTCAGGTTCTCCATCCCAGAGAATGCAAAACATTGTTACCTTAGTTCAGGATTACAGCACTACATTGCTGCAGAATATGTACATAAATCCCAGACAGCATTTAAATAAACTGTTTATAATACAGAAAAAAGAAAAGAACCAACACAAAAATGGGCTGTTTAATGACACGAACAAAGCATTAACTGAAAGGTATCTTACAGATTTGCTTCTGAATTATAAATTTAAGCAGCAATCCTCACAAGACCTAAATATTTACCTCTACCTATAGAGTTGATTTAAAATAGTCTTATGTACAAGTTAGTACTAAAGATTAATTTACAGTGTAGTTTTAATTACAGCTCTGCAGTGCTTCACCAATAAACTAAATCATCAGCTGAACTCTTCTTTCTATTTCAAGGTACACTAACTAATTAAATACAGACACAAAAATGTCCTTAATTCTTCTAAAGCAAGAAAAAAGCTGCAATGTAAAGCAGTCTTATCAAAACGACCACATGCACTGCTGTCTAGTACTAAGGGGAGGGGAAAGCAGCGAGTAAAAGAGCTTCCGAGTTGGACAACGAATCCTTCTGATGCATGTGCATTCTATCATTCATTAGGGCAGTAAAAAAAAAAGAATTCCAAAACTACTAAGTTTCCTCCAATTAAAAAGTTGAAGGATACAAAATTTTAAAGCCACTGTAAATTTTAAACTCAGAAGGTGCAGCTGCCCTCAGAACACCCACATAAAATTACATCCCTCTCTCTTCAACATAAATAAATCAAGCTGAACAAATGCCACGACAGTTCTCACCGATTACAAACTTCGCTTTATAGAAAAACCATTGTCAGTGCCTCTACTGCACAACTTTATTACATGTGTACCTTAACTGCCCTTCAGAAGAAAAAAAACAGAATTCAGAATAAAGCACCGCCTTGTTTAAAACACTTAAATTTTATGAAATGTATTTTGTACCACAAAATACAGCTTCTTAATAAAATTATCTTTAATACGATCAAATATTTCTAAACTTTATTATCTGCTAACGACAAAGTTGTATGAAGTCTGGCAAATACACACCTCGGTACACCACGCACACTGCCTGACATTTTTGTTTTAAAGCTTTTTGGGAGAAAAGCTCACAGTGAAGAAATACTGAAGTTAACCCACTCAACCATTTGCCCTAAGCACACACTAGATTAGACCAGGAATCGAGCTTTTCACTTCCAGTGAGAAACTACCACGATTGCAGGGTTTTGTTTTTTGGTTGGTTTTTTTTTTTTTTTACTCCGTTCACAAATCTTCTGGCTGGTTTAGTTAGTGGGAGACAGGGAAACTGCACACGCATCCCCATGCATAGTAATCTTGCAACACTCAGCCCTTTGCACCCCAATGCATTGAGGTTTATTGAGTGTTTGGGCTGTCTCTT